TATCTATCAAATCATTAACTCTCTGCACTCCATCAGCAATAACCTCAATGTTTAACTGCTTCTGCAGCTTTGATTTATTATGTATTAGTTGAGTTGGGTTCAACCTGCAGTTTTGTTGTGTTGTTGTTTTTTTTTTAGTTGATTTGATTTGAGTCGAGTCATTCAGTTAAATTTTATGGCTTGGGTTAAGGTGTGTTTCCAGTCTTCACCTCTGTAATTTGTGCTCAGATTAATGAATGCAATTATTTTTTGAATAATTAAACTTTCTTTGAAGAGCAGGGGGTTTGCTCATGTTGGCATCTTTATGGTACGTGTTCCTCTAACTTTTTTGAGGACTTTCTGGTCCAGGGTCTGAAATCAAGACCTGTCACAAAACAACAAAAAAATCATAGATCATGTGTGATATAAAAAAAACGACCCATTCTCTCAAATTACATTTAGAAAATCTAAACAATTTAAACTGTATTCTGGTCTCAGGTCTATGGAAGCCCGTTTCTGCCACTAAAAAAAAAAAAATTAATAACTCAAAATTTCGAGTTATGGATCCTTTTAAAAAAAAAAAAATCACTTATTTTCTCCAAATTTTGACTTATTTTCTCAAAATTTCGACTTACTTTTCTCAAAATTTTGAGTTAATAATTTTGAGTTAATAACTCAAAATTTCGAGTTAGTGCTGCCAATAATCTACGTGAATGACATCATTTCCTTGTTACCTGGAAGCTGAAGCCCTCAGGTACAAATGTTACAGCTAAGCTACCGGTATTACATCCAGTCATGAATGCACAGATTGCTGAGTATTTTCAGCGTGGTTTCAAAAATGATTAAATCCCTGTGTTATTAGCTGGATCACACGGCGTTACTATCAGCAAACGTACTTGCGAAAGCACCAATTTGTTGCGATCTGGTTTTGAGTGTGCGTTACTCTGTCCCATATGCTTCCAGGTAACAAGAAAGTGACCTCATTCACGTAGATTACTGATTGGCAGACCTAACTCGAAATTTCGAGTTATTAACTTGAAATTTGGAGAAAAGTAACTCGAAATTTCAAGTTATGTTTCTCCAAATTTCAAGTTACATTTCTCGAAATTTTGAGTTAATAAGTTGAAATTTCGAGTTAATAAGTCGAAATTTCAAATATATAACTTAAAATTTCGAGTTATGGATACTTTTTTTGGGGGGGTTTTCAGTGGCAGAAATGGGCTTCCGTACAGACCTGTATGCTCGCAGTTGGCCCAACTATAACATCCTAATGTGCTCTATGACATACCTGGCCCCTTTAACAAGCATAATTACATTGAGGCCATGTGACACGACCACCCTCGTATACAAAGGAAAAAGGGAAAAACAAGCGTTATCTGTAGTGCAAGCACAAGAAATCGGGACATCTAGGTCTTTCCAACTTCTCCATCTACGACATTTCCCAAAACACAAACCCTTGGTCAGGAAGCTCCCTCAGCCCACTAGGTCACCTGTAACTGCTGACTTTTTTTTGTCCCTCTTTGTATGACATTCTCTTTCACAGCTCGCTTAAGAGTATGTGACCATTTACACAACAAGACGTGGGAGGTATAAAAGAAGCCTCCGCAGAGAGTCTCAGTGCTGCTTAATGGGAGCCCGGGGCCTGCCCTCAGTCCTGAAGCCTTTCACACATCTTGCTCCCTGCCTCTCCAGTTACTTCCACTGTCCTCCGGCAACAAAGACCCAACTGACTGCCCTCTCCTTCCCAGACCCTATCAGCATGGATCCACCTGAGATTTCCCCTCAGTATCTCTCCAGCATCTATGGAAATGAAGTGTCTTGTATAACCCTGTAAATGAGGCTGTACCTAATTAAAAAAGGGGGCTACAGAGTACCCAAAGTGACTGATGTTAATTCTGTAATTCTAGCTACCGCCGAGCTAAAGAGCTAGGTCTCAGACTGTGTGTGTGCTTCTGGTTTTGGTCCATAAACGCCCCCAGAGTGAGACTGTACTCCTTTGGTGAGTCTGTGTGCTCGGGTGCTCTGAGATTTAACTGTACTGAGTGAACTCTGGTAAGGCTCTAACCACAACCGAGTCCTGATCCAAAGACGACCTTCTTTTACACTTTCAGCACAAAAAACAGTCAAAACGAGAGAAACATTTTAAACTGCTGCTTCAGGTGGTGAAGGACACATTATCATTCAACCCCCCCTCCAAAAACCCCCCCATAAAAGCCACAGTGTTTCCCACCAAATCGTCCACCACAGACACATTTTATCATCAATTGGCACTTTGCTGCTGTTGATGACCGATCCTGCCCAAAGAGGCTTGCATTCATCCCATGAGAGCCTCTCTTTGTACACAACATTCCTCTTCTGTGGTATTTAAAACATGTCTCCAGACAGTAATTCTCTTTTGTTTTTCCACCTCTGACTTCCCCTCTCACCTTCTTGCTCTTCTTACTCTGTTTCCAGTTTCTCCCTCTCTCTCTCCCGGATTCCTCCGCTGGCCCTCCTCTCAAGTCCCCTCTCCTCCGCACCCACCCCCTGTCCCCAAACACTGATCTCAGATTAACGTGAACACTATCCCAGGTAAAGTTTGCACCTGCTTCTTTAGGCAAAGCTCCTTCCACTGATTCTCACTGATTCCCAGTTTAGGCGAGAACAAAAAAAACTCTAGCTCGCTGTTGGTTCTGCCGGTAATTCCTGCGGAGCTGGACGCGGACAAGAAGCGCTCTTCCATCAGGACATCCAGCTGCTCTTCATCACTTCGACTGCCTCTCTTTACTCCCTCCATCACTCCCTGGATGGGATACTGCTCTGTGGAGATTGCCACTAGACTAGTAAGGTGCTAGATGTTCATCTCCTGAAGGCAGGTGAGTCCATCATTTTTGTCCTTCACTCTATTTCAGTATTTTCTGAATTTATAACCTGACTGTGGTTATAACAACAAAGCTGTACTGTTTTAAATCAGCATGTTTTCATGCTGCAAATACAGACTATACCTGTATGTCACAGGAGTTATTTGGGGGGGGGAGTGTAAAAAAATAACACTTTCTATCAAAAATTGTTGGGATTATGTGTTTTCTTCTGGTGATGATTCCAGTATTGGATTCACATTAAAGGGTTGCAAACTTCATGAGTAAAAATGCCTGTTTTTCCCCTTTATTTTCCCCCCTAAAACAACCTTAAACTCTCAAATGTAATTCTTGATTTTGACATTACTTTATTTTCCACTTTTGGAACTGAGTACAAAAAAGCCCCCAAAAAACTGTGAGTTACATTTTGATCACTGTTTGATCTTGACAATCATATCTATCTAAAAATCTTTATATTAATCCTCATTGAGTGAATTAACTTCTAATGTTTCTTTAATGTAACATGATTGGTCTCTTTTTGAGTGTGACCCCAGAGATAAAGAGATAAACACTCTTTAGTGTCGTGTTCAGGCTTTATCTTAATTGCCACCTCAAAAGCCACTAAAAGGACTTAATGCCAGTCAGTTGGTGAGTCACAAGAGTGAAAAGAGCAATTGTGGTTAATCTTTCTGTTAACAATGTATGATGAGAGGCTGATGACATTACAGCAGACCTCTCTCAGCAGTGCCCACTAACCTTGGCACACCTGAATGCGATTTAATGTCCGCCTGAGCAGAATTCACACATTAGAGAGATTTGGGAGACGTCTCGAATTGGCCTTGCATTCGTTGTGTATCGGTTACGTGCAGAAGGTGCTGGGGGGGGATTCACATAAAGATTCCCAGATCATACTAAGGTCTATTTATTGCATTAAAAATGAAAAATAACAGTTTTCTTAATTTTTGGTCGATAGCGCAGAGATGCTCCAGATTTACTTTCGTGCCATATTGGTCGACTAGCTTTTCACAACTTTCATTCATTCATGTATAATGAAATAAAACCATATCTTTTCATTTTAAATGATATGGTTTAGAAATATTTGTATAAATGCTTCAATAAATGCGCCTATATATGTCAAAACTGCTAGCCTGCAGCTACAGTGAACACTGTTTTACAAACTGAACTACCCAATGAAATATGCAAACTTTTAAACTATTTACTAGTGCCCAAACCAAGTTACTTGGAGTGGTATTAACCTCATTTATCCATGAAGTCATTTAAATCCTATGTTTAAAACAAAACAGACACATCATTGTTATCAGTAAATTACCAAAGGGCTTACAGGGATTAGATTGTTCTTTATTAGGTGGTCATTAGAAGTAAGTAGAAGGTAAAAAGTTTTTAATGAAGCATGAAAGCTGTGCAGTTGTACCGAACGCTGGCTGGAAAAACCAAAGTCTATTGAAGCCTGTGATATCTAGAGGGAACCAATTTTAGCTGTACCACTATCTAATTGATTGCTGACTATAGAGTCAGTACCTTCTTTTTGGAGTTTCATTCTAGTTTATTTAACAATTAAGATTAAATGCTATACGATGATTGTAGACTGCCAACTTGGCTGTACATCTGATTTTGCCAACAGGAAACTTGCCAAACCAGGCCCCTAAGGGCTACTCCAAGGACCTTAGCAATTCAAACCTGCTCACTTAAAGCCATTAGTGCCCCAGCGTTTATGCTCCTCTCCCTTCAGCCAACAAGACATGGATAGGTCCCAAACAGAAGTGGTAATGAGGTCCTAAGCAGCCTCGCGGCTTCAGACAGAGAGACTGTGGAGCAGAGCCGACCGGTCCTGTCAGCTGCCGGGAACTCAGGCACAGAGAGGCCTGTGGTCCACTGTTGAGGCTCACATGGGACTTTAAGGCAAATGTGATCCTGACACATTGTTCTGGCATGCATAATAGGGCCTTTTCAGGGCTCCTCATGGGAGCCCTGGGAGCCTGATTTTAAAGAAGTAACGTGACGTTGGTTCGTTGGTTCTACCTCTTCACTTCTTTTGTCTAACAGCCTTGCTTATGGGAAGTTGTCCTATGACTCATGACTTCCTGCGTTTCCATTAGCTTTAAGGAAAATGCAGCACAGATTAAGTAACACCACTTTAAATTGTGTCTCTGCTTTTTTGACAGAATGGTCAGGCCAGGCTGTCCAGTCATTCTGCTCCATATCTTCAGCATCTTTGCACACACAAGAGGTATAAGACATGCAAATATTGAGCTAGCATACCGTTCTCTTCCTCAACTCTTACAATTTGATGAGCTCTTGTACATTATTTTTCAAGGTAACACTCAGGATACGCTGTATCCATATGGACCTGGCCATAGGGATCTAGAGACTCCAAAGATGGACGATGGAAGTTCTCCTGAAATTACTTTGCTCATCCCCTTTATTTTCTTCAATATCCCTTACCGCTCTATCTATGTAAGCCCTGAACTCCACAGTCCTTCAATCAATATCTTTAAAGCTAACTAATGCTGGACCATGAAACTGAAATAAAAATCCTCTTCTTTCCTCTCACAGGTCAACAACAATGGTGTAATCTCCTTCAACGTGCAGGTTAGCCAGTTCACACCAGAGGCTTTTCCCCTGAGTGACAGCAGGTCATTTATTGCTCCACTCTGGGCAGATGTGCACAATGGCATCCGCGGAGACGTGTACTACCGGGAGACCACCGAGCCAGAAATTCTCGAAAGGGCAACACAAGATGTCCGGAAGTATTTCAAAAACATGCCCACCTTCACTGCCACATGGGTCTTTATTGCAACATGGCACCAAGTCACTTTCTATGGAGGAAGCCAGACAACTCCGGTAAAGTTTTAACTCTGGCATAGTTTGAATTCTGGTCATTCACTTCCACCAGTATGTGGATAGGAACTGGCTGATCAAAAGGGAAAAATATGCCCCACGTGCATCTGCTTCATCTTCATCTGCTGTATTTCTCATGTGTACACAGACTTTGGTACTGTATAGAAATGTGTGAGCCTCAATAATTGCCACCTGGTTGCCAAATATGATTCAAACACACTCATTATAAGAACTAACATGCCATTCAGACATAATGCTATACACATGTGTTTGATTATATTTTGTGGTCCCTATGCAATTTTCTTTACCATCCCAAAGAAAATGGGGAAGATAAAATAATGTAAATACATTAGGTTAAGTGTTATTTGTAGCTATATTGTATTTTTTTGTTAGATGCATGTAGTTTACCCAGCTTAGCTTGCTATATTTTACTTTAGACTTCTAAAATCTAGCCAACATCTGTTTCTGGACAAGTAAACAGTTATTTTGCAATTTAAATGTAATTAATGTGTTTTGGGTGGTTTAGCCGCAGAGTGAATTACTAATTCGAAAGCTTACAATTCATCCCCAGCTCACCAAACATGTCTGTAGGATCCATAGCAACGGCCATGAAGTGGCAGACCACGTAAAATTACAGAGCAGTGTCACAAACTGTGTAACAATCGCCAAACGCTCTGATGACTCAGTGAATGCAGAGCTTCAAATCGCCATTAACATCAGCACAAAAACTGTCACTGGGGACTTCATTCAGTGGATGAGCAGCTCCTGTTTGTGTGTTGGTGGTCCACTACTTTACTCCATATAGTATATGTGCAAAAGGGGCTCATGCAATAAAACCTGCACCACTCAATAATGTTTTTAACCAGCCAAAACTGCCTTTTTCTATCACATGAATAGGTTTTTGTATAGATGACACATTAATACAAATTGAATTATGAGGCAGGAGCAAAAGTTAAACAAAACCTTTTCAGGTTTATTTATTAATAGTTTATCAGTTTAACTACAAAGCAACTCACTACATTCTTCTATTTGTGTGGCAGAAAGCTATCCATGATTAACCCACCAAGTTGAAAATCTACTCGTTTTTGGCAGTTAGTGGGTATTTATTTCAGACCCTGTGTGTGTCTGTGTGTATGTGAAGCAAAAAGACTGCTGTGTGTATGAATGGTTGAAAGTAGCTTGTTGTGTCAAGCTATGTTAATGGTTAGTAAGGTTAGATAAGTGCCATATGAGAGATCACTTTTTAGAGAAACGCATAAGAAAATATCCAGGAAGTTTTCAACTGTTTCCGTTTGTAACAAGGTGGGCAATTCTCATCACTGTACAGAGCAACATAATTTTAAAATGACGCTAAATCAGGAACAGGTTTTTTGTATTGAAGTTTCCTGTCTATTTTGTGGATGTTAATTACATGAAAAAAAAAAAAGATTTTCATCCATTATACATTTGTTTAGTGTACATTCACTTTTCTTCTTTCTTAAAATCTTTTTAATCTTGTTGTTTGATTTAAAGGTGAACACGTTCCAAACTGTACTCATCTCAGATGGCGTGGCATCCTTCAGTATGTTCAACTACGGTGAAATCACATGGAGCACAGGAACAGCCAGTGGTGGAGATCCATTAACAGGATTGGGCGGTACAACAGCTCAGGTATTCTCACTGTGCCTCCTAATTTCATAAGGACAATAAGGCTTTTCGTATACAGAAATGATCCTCTGGACATTCAATCTGATATGCCTCACAACTCTCCCCTTTTTAGTCAGGTTTTAATGGTGGAGATATTGGCCATTTCTTCAACCTGCCGGGATCGCGGTCAAATGATGTAGTGAACATTGAACAAACAACTAATGTAAATATTCCTGGGCGCTGGTTCTTCCGTGTAGACACTGAGCTGATTAATCCTGCCAATGGCTGCAGCTACAATGGCAAGTCAAACATCAAACACTGATAATGTGCATGCAGGCTGACTCTTTGCAAAGAATTCTTCACTAAAATTAGTCCGTGAAATGCTACTTTGTTCTACATCCTTTCCAGGCCGTTACTACAGACGGGGAGAGATCTTTTGGCTGTCTGACAGATGCTCACAGCGGTGTCGCTGCCTCGACATCGATAATGAGGTGCAGTGTCAAGAGGCTCCGTGTGGGCAGCTTGAAACCTGTGAGCAGCTGGAAGGAGCCTTTTACTGCCAGCCCACTCGCACCAGCACTTGCGTGGTATTCGGAGACCCCCACTATCACACCTTCGATGGCTTCCTCTATCACTTCCAGGGGACCTGCTCCTACCTGCTGGCTCGGCCCTGCTGGGAGGTAGCAGGGCTGCCCTTCTTCAGTGTGGAGGCCAAAAACGAGAACCGTGGAGCTGCCTCTGTTTCCTGGCTTAGAGACGTCACAGTGGAGGTGTATGGTCACCGAGTTACGCTGCCAAAAGGAAGTTTTGGAACAGTCCAGGTGAGAATCTATGGATACAGAAGGTAAGCACATAGCTGCTTTCCTCCTGGATACACTGTCTAGATATTGGTTAATGATTTCTACCTGTTCCCTTAACAAAACATCCTTTTTTCTCTCTTTAGGTGGATGGCTTGGTGAAGACTTTACCAGTCCAACTCCAGCTTGGTGCTGTCAGGGTGTACCAATCTGGGGTTGCCATTGCTTTAGAAACTGATTTTGGACTCTTGGTAACTTACGATGGCCAACATTACGCATCCATCTCCCTACCCAGCTCCTACTTCAACAACACTTGTGGCCTTTGCGGCAACTATAATGATGACCCTGCCGATGATCCCGTACTACCTGATGGCACTCTGGCAGAAAGCGTAGTGGAGCTGGGAGGCAGCTGGAGAGCAGAGGACACAGACTGGAGGTGTACAGATGGATGTGCACAGAACTGCAGCATGTGTGACCCTCTTGTAGAAGCTTTCTACTTTCGGCCTGACTACTGTGGGTTAATTAACAAAACTGATGGACCATTCAGGGACTGCAGAGCTGTTGTGGATCCTACAGCCTTTGTGTACAGCTGCGTTTATGATATGTGCAGCAACAAGGATAACATCACTACTCTATGCCAGGCCATACAGGCCTATGCTCTGGCTTGTCAGGCCCTTGGTGTCACAATACGACCTTGGAGATCTCGCACCTTCTGTGGTGAGATTCAGTTTGCTTAATGCTAAATTTGACATGAAAGCACTTATCTACCATATGAAATCAGAATTAATTTCTTCTCCTTTATTGTTTCTTAGATTGGTCTTGTCCAGACTTCAGCCAGTATCAAGTGTGCACAAGCGCCTGTCCAGCTTCCTGCTCAGACCTCACCGCTCCCTTGTACTGTGCTCATCCTTGCACTGAGGGCTGCCAGTGTGACCCAGGCTATGTTCTCAGTGGCAGCCGCTGTGTACAGCGTGAAGACTGTGGCTGTGAGCATAATGGCCTCTATTACCCTCTTAATGCGACTTTCTGGGTAGGTCCCAGCGGTGAAGAAGGAGAATGTACCCTCCGGTGTACCTGTGGGCCTGCTGGGGAAGTTTCTTGTTTCAATGAGTCCTGTAAGGAGGGTGAGGTGTGTAAGGCAGAGGTTGGCCTGCTGGGTTGCTACCCTCGAAGAGAAGGGGTTTGCTCAGTCACCCAAAACTCAGTGACATCCTCCTTCGATGGCACCTTCCTGTCGTTCCCAGATGACAGCTCTTATTACTTACTGAAGCTGTGCGCTCCAGTGCCAGCCAATGGCTCGATGGTGGAGGTGAAGCTAGGTCGGCGGTTGGTCAACAAAGGGCCTGCTTGGAAAAGACCTGTGGTAGTTACACTAGCTAACTTGGAGGCACAGATGGGAGGGTTGGATTTTGATACAGTCAAGGTTAGTATTTCTTCATGAAAAGTAAAAATCTTGTGGGGTTTGTTTTTTTTTTGACAACTAGGAAAATAGCAGAGTGGAGACTTCTGCACTGCCGCAAGTATATGAACAGATTCGCTTTTATTGAAACTGAAAACGCTGGAATTGTGATTTAGGTAGAGGTCTAAGCTGAAAAAACTAATTCAAACCCAAGCATAAGCAGTAGCAATAGAAATAAACAGCAAAAATAAATGCATTAATTATTTTTATCAGCCAGCAATGGTCATCCGGTAAACAAATGAACACAACCACAGTGGGACTACAAGCCAGTCAAGCCTACATCTACTATGAGTCCCATATCTGGAAAAATAGGAAAAGTAGCAACAGAAAGAGGGTCCTGGAATAAAATCTGTACCAAATCAAAAATGGGGATCACAAAGAATGCTATTTTCTTACCAGATTGGCCAGGTCCAGTGCTCCAGTTGCCAGCAGAGTGGCGGTGGAAACTGTGCTACTGTTGGCCAAAGACAAAGGAAAAAGATTTGTGGATATAATGAAGGAGGATATGCATGAGGTTGTTTTGACAGATTAATAAAATAGAGATGAGGTGAGATGGCAGCAGATAATCCACTACAAAGACCCCTAAAAGGAGCAGCCAAAAGAGGAAGAAGAATAAGCCGTAGCGTTAACAAACGGGTTGTTAAAAGAGGTTGTATGTGGCTAACAGTTAAAGCTGTTTGGAAAATGAATAAGTTGTCTGAAGTGCTTGGGAAATGATTGCATTAGCAATGTAAACTGTTAGCTAACACTATGAATGAACAAATTAATTGCTAAAATGGCTATCTGCAAATTAAAAAAAACAACGTACCAATATTTTAACTAAAGGAATACTAGCTAGCTAGCTAGCTAGCTAGCTAAAATGAACTGGAAGTTGTTAGGTAAAAGAAATAGATAAAAGGCCTCCATTATCTTCTGAACGACTGAGAAAACTTTGTTTTAGCATATTATATTAATGCTTACAGAACAATAAAATTGTTGAAGAATTCTTTAAATAACAGAAATAGGAAAAAAAAAGATGCTCTTACTATCTGTGCACAGAGGTTTTCTGGAAATTCTGATCCAGGGAGCTGATTGGTCACCAGGCAGTGAATTCATATCTTCTGATTTTCTGATCTCTAATCTCAAACATAATCTGCCCCCAAGCAGGTTATGTCTTCAACTTTAGTCACAAAATCTTGCTTCATAGTACACATCTCTGCTGTCTGTGTTGCTCAAAAATGTTAGTTTATTAGCCTATTCAAACCTAAAAATGGAAAAATGTATCTAACTTTAGCATCTGTTGACACAATAGTTATATATTTATTTTTAAAACTGTAATGCCAAAAAGACAATTGAATTTAAATCAGAAAGGTTCCAGTGATAAAGACATCCATACTCATAAAACACAATAATCACAACTGCAAATACTGACCTTGATTTCAAAGGAAAAAAATTAAAAACTTAACAAGAGGGGTTTTTTTTAAAAAAATAAATGGACCAGACTTACTAACAGTTAAATTTAAAACAAAAATGCCTGACAGCTTTATGAAGCGCAAAACATCTGAACTCATAATAAATGACTTAACAGTGAAACTGTGACTGTTTGTCACAGTTGTAAAAAGTAGTTTATAATTTACCGTTATGTCAAGAATAAAGTTGCTGTTGTGCCACATTAATAAACAAGAGAGCAGCTCTCTTTCTTTGGAGGTGTAATCGTTGGACGCTATGAAACTGCAGAAATTTAATTAACTCAAACAGCCAGAAGCAAAGAACACAACTATGTTTGCAGTCCACAATCTCTCTCCAGTCATTAGAGAGCCTCATTAAAAGAAAAAAAAAATGTTTGTGCTGAACAAGGCTGATGTTAAGACTTAAAAATGATCTCAGCATATCATCATTTTTGTTTGCTTTTAATCACCTGTAATAGGCTTGAGATTTGTTTGAGGCAATATGAGAGTGTGACCATAAAAGCATGTCTCAGACATTAGAAGTCTGAAAACTGGCATCTGGTTTTGGCATTTATTAAACTAACTAGTTCACATAAATGCACTTTGGAACATGAACGGTTTTTTAATGAAGGCCTTCTTGAGTCCAATGAAAATGAGGCTTGGAACCACCTGAATATATTTCACTTTTTTATTTTGCAGGTGAACGGTGAACTAGTGTTGCTCCCATACGTCCATCCAATGGAGACAATGATGATCTACAGAGCGCCGGGCAATGCAACAGTGGTGGAGTCCCGCGGTCTGCTTCGTGTCCACTACACACGTCAAGGATTCCTCAATATCTCCCTTTCAACCCTCTTCTACAATGTTACTTGTGGTCTTTGTGGTGTTTTCAATAGCAATGCAACCGATGACCTTCGCCTACCCAATGGACGCCAGGCAGAGTCAATCGAACAGTTCACAGACGGCTGGCGCTCCATTGCTGATGATCTTACCTGCAACGGTGACTGTGACGACCTGTATCGCATGTGCACAGACTTACGTCTTTATCAGAGCCCTTGGATGTGCGGCAATATCAACGACCCCGGGAATAGTTCCTTTCTTGCGTGTCACACAGTGGTTAACCCCTCGCCATTCTTCAGGAACTGTTTGTATAACATGTGCGTGAGGGAAGGGAACCGCTCAGCCCTGTGTTCTTCGATGCAGGCTTACGCCACCGCCTGTCAGGATGCTCAAGTAGGACTTGCTTCATGGAGGAGCACCACCAACTGTCGTGAGTAACCTATTACATGTATATAAAAGATGGACCATTACGTCAACCACTGGCTAGTGAGGGCCTGTTGTCAGGTCTCAAACTGAGCATTTTCCCTGGCGAGCTTGTTGTTTTGAAAGGCCATGTTACAAACAGCGGGAAATGACTGTAAAATCAAGGCATCCCCTAAACTATACACTGCATCATCTTCCATTTTTAGGCTAACAGGGACCATAAACTTAGTCCAGATGACTTCATAGCAGCAGCTGAGGCCATAAACATATATAAAAGTGATTACTTAAGGCACAAATGAAGGGCACTGAAGGAAATTTTTCTATAGATTTTCACACAGCTGGATTTCTTGTTGAAATCAGAGCAGTCACCTCTTGCTGGTCATTAGAAAGATCAGCAAGTCGTCGATTATCAAACTATTCTCTGTAGATCCAAAACAGAGATGCATAGACGGACTAAATCTAATAATTAAGTAATTAAAGTTTATTTATAAAGCCTTTTCACAGACAAGCAGTCAAAAGATGTAATCAAAATAAATAAACACTGGGATGAAGCATAATAGAAAAGCAATAGCAATACAAAATCAAGTTAAGATCGCTTTTTAAAGAAGTCCACAGAGTCAGCTAATTTCATTTGGGCTGGGAGACTGTTCCAAAGTCTTGGTGTCACAGATTGCAAGGTCTTTAATCTTTCATTAGGAAAAAACAAGAAATTCTGAGCCTGTGATCAAAGACTGTGAGCAGCAGTGTCTATAGTAAAAATCTGGTATAAATAACCTGCAGTGTGTCCAGACTATTTACCCCCAAACACATATAAATGAATTCTAAAGTCTTCTAGGACTTTGCCAAAACTCCGCAAGAAATAGGCATTACTAGCTAGCGGCTAAGCTTCTTATTAATCCATAATATTGTTCTGTTTATCCATATTGGATAAGGAGGGGGGATCTGAAGAATATCTCAGCTGCCATAGGACATGGAGCAGGGTACACCCTGGACAGGTCACCAGTCCTTTGCAGGACTGAGAGAGAGAGACAGCTATGCAAACTTACTTTGAAACCTAGGGCCAATTTACAATCACCAGTTAACCCAATGTGCATGTGTTTGTGAGAGACAGCCAGAGTCCCTGGAGAGAAACCATACAGGTACTCTTCAGGGTAAATTCAACACGGAAAAGCTCCAAGCTGGATTAGAAACCAGGACCCTTTTTTGCTGTGAAACGACAGTGCTAACTTCTGCACCACTGTTCCACCCGTTTGTTGTTTAAAAAATGAATTAAAAAAGTTAAATTCAGATTTGTTTTAAACAACAAAGGCTGATCATGACTTTAAAAAAGTAGAAAAAAAAGAGAAAAAGGCTAAAAAACAAAAATAAACACAGTAAAAACATAGTCTTGCTGATGGGCTCTGAGTCATCAGAGCACAACAATGTATAATGTGTCTTGAAAACACATTTAACCCTCCTGTTTATTATAAGTTATTATTGAGTTTTACCACCAGCACTGTTGAAAACTTTGTTCCAGTAACAATAATAATAATGCGACTGGGTATTTTCATATATTTTGCATGAGAATTCTAAAAGTGGATTGTCCCAAAAGGAAAAACTCCCTTTTAACAGGAAGAAACCTCCAGCAGAACCAGACTCGGAGAGGGGCGGCAATCTGCCGTAACTGGTTGGGATGAGGGATGGGAGGCAGGATAAAATATACGCTGTGGAAGAGAGCCAGAGATTATTAATAACTAATGATTAAATGCAGAGTGGTGTATAAACACGAAGAGAGCGAAACGAAGTGTGTGAAGATGAAAAACACTCAGTGCATCATGGGAAGCGTCCATGAGCCGCGGTCTACTGCAGTATAACTAAGGAAGGGTTGAGGGTCACCTGATTCAGCTCAAACTATAAGTTTTCTTTTAAAAAAATCCCAACAATAACTTAACCTAATATTTAAATATTTAATTTCCTCTGTCGCAATGGTCTCTAGATTCTTTCTATCATCTCACTTGTTTGGAGCTGTTGTTTTATCTTGTTAGAAGGAAAGTAAAACTGGAACCAGTTACAGTGATTTTGTATTGTGACTGTGATACACAGTGTATTTTGTACTACACATAAAGAGGATAACATAAAAACACGTGTAAGATATTTGACTGAACATTGGCTTAAGTCTTGCTCTCCCCGACCTTCACTCTTCTTCAGCTCTTCCCTGTCCAGAGAACAGTCACTTTGATGAGTGCACCAACGCCTGCCCTTTGACCTGTGCCAACTTGGACGAACCCGAAGAGCCGTGCCCCCTGCCTTGTCAGGAGGGGTGTCAGTGCGAAGACGGCTTCGCGCTGCGGGATGGCCTGTGCGTGGCGCGCAGAGATTGTGGCTGCATCTACCACAGGCGTCAGCTGGCCACCAACCAGACGTTCTGGACAGACTGGGAGTGCCAGGAGCGCTGCTACTGCAATGGCTCTGACAACAACGTATACTGTCAGCTCGCGCCGTGTCACCCTGAGGAGTACTGCCAGGAGAATGACGGCCTGTATTTCTGCCAGCCGCGCTCTGAGGCTCTGTGTGTGGCAGCTGGCTATGGACATTTTTTGCCATTTGGCGGAGTGCCGTTCGAGCTGCAGAGCTCTTGCACTCTCAGGATGGTCACCACCAGATGTGGGAGGGGGAACATGGCGCACGTACCCATCACCAGAACTTTTCCTCCATTTAAACTGGCGGTTCGTAACGAGGACAGAGACACGAGCCAAGCAATTTGGGTGAGGGGTTTTGTGCTGGAGGTTTACGAGTATGAAATTGAAGCATCTCGAAGCTACAGAAACACCGTCACGGTAAGCATTAGGTTGATATATGAGAATGTCTGTGCAATGAGGTAATCTTCAACAGACTTTATTTTTTTTGCATGCCCTGTGAAGGTCGAAGTTATTGCATTTGTGAGGACATGTTATTTCTAATCAAGCCGATAGAATAACCAGGCAGAGGGTGAATTCCTCTTTGATTGGCTTAAGGTGGATCTAATTTCAATGGGCATCTTTTATCGGGCTGGATTTGGCTCAGACGAAACCTCGACCCTGAGCGACATTTGGACCAGGTTCACAAAGCGACTAAAAGATCTGAGGAGCAACATAAATGACACATCCACCCACACACTCGCTCACACACCCTTCTTTCTTTAATTTTCTCCGTTTCGCTCTCGCTCTGACAATTATACTGAGAGGAATTCACAGACACTCTTTCAGTCAGTCTTAATAGTAGCTGTTCACCACCTGGGCTTCCCCACATACTTGGAAAATATACAAGTCAGTTAGATTAGAGACTTGAACTTCTGTTTCTAGAAGTTGCTCCTGTAGGAATGATTTTATGTTAGTTGGGATCTTATATTAAATCTTTAACCAGTTTTACATGATTTCTCTCTGCACTAAGGTGAATAAGGAGCGACTGTACCTTCCCCTGAAGCTGGGCCCAGGAAAGGTCAATATCTTCACCTTTGGCATGCACCTCATTTTGGAGACAGACTTTGGCCTGAAGGTGGCCTTTGACTGGAACACTCTCCTGCTCTTGACTTTACCCCGCGACCTCTACAACTCCACCTGTGGCCTTTGCCAGGGCGTGCCTCTGTCCCCACCCACCCTTTCCACTACCGAATGGGGCATGGCCTGGGCGGAGAGGGACACTTTCTGCCAGGTGGGCTGCGGTGACTCCTGCCCGCGCTGTGGCCTCGGAGAGAAAAGCTCCCTAAACGACACCCCTCTCATGGTGGCTGATGCCAACATGAACGCTGGGAGCGACGATGAAGCAAATGGAGTCAGCACTGGCATACGTTTCCACATCGGTGACGGGCTCTATGTGTTTGTGGAGCCCGAGGCAGTGAGGCTGTGTGGGTTACTTGTTGATCGGGGAGGCGTGTTTGCACGGTGTCACAGCAAGGTGGCGCCAGCGTTCTTTTATCAAAGCTGCCTCCAGGACACCTGCTTGGATCAGGGAGCTCAGGATACGATCTGTAACTGGCTGCAGATCTATGCCAGCACCTGTCAGACCCAGGGGGTGCATGTCACCGACTGGAGGAGCGACACACCGTGTGGTGAGGAGATGTTTTTGTAGAGTTTTTCCCATTGTGTTATCACAAGATGTATTCTCCTTCTTAAAGTCACAGGCACCGTTTTAAGTTTCAGGTTTGTGTGCACCATTACTGGAGAGAATCTATAATTAAAATTAAGGCCAGTTTAAATGAATAATATTTACACGGACGTAGCTAGAAACCAGTGCCCTATGAACAGCACTTGGAGACAGTGGGGATAAAAAAATGAGAGAAAAAAATGTAATAATAGCATATGAATGTGTGATGGCTTTAAGATGGGAAGTAGAGGTGAAGTGCATCATGGGAGTTCCTCCAGCCAGCCTGAGTCTGAGAATCTGGTAACCCACAGGCTATTATGCTGACTTAGCTGGTATAACCAGATAAAATCCAAATAAAAAAGGTAAAACTTCGTCAGCAGATAATAGTTATCTGATGCATTTCAGCATGTACCATCCCTGTTTTGCTCCCCACATAGATTGTTTATCTGCATGCAAGGGAAGCTTGCAAATGGACACCAGAAAACTTGTAGCACCAAAACCTTTTTTTCTTGCCTGCAGAGATTAATTGCAGAGGAAGTAAGGAAGGGTTTACACTCACCTGATCCAATCCTAACTATTAAGTTAAGTTTAAAGAGAGTTTCTGCTCCATGAATCCAGACTTGGAGCTGGTTCCAGAAGCCTGGTAGCTGAAGCATCTGCCTCTAGGAAAAATAGACTGTGTGTTGTGAAGAAGCAACAGCGTGTCATCATTAATGGCTGTTTTAATCAAAGAAAGTAGCTCATCTGAAAAATATCAGAGAGATATGTAGATAATTACCAGAAATGCACCCACCCACCTTATGCAGGTTTAAGATAAAATCATTAAAACCACAAATTGTAATTTTTAAGTTGTGTTTGTATATTTAATCTATAAGGAAATGAGCTACACCATGATAATTAGTGCATTTAAAACTGCATTTATATGGAATAGGTCCTTATTTTGGATGTTTTCTCTAAGCAGGGATTAACCAGGTTTGAAGTCCACCTCAACTTTCTTACACCCCAAAATAATAAATAATATAATAATATGAATAAAATACATTTCACCCAAAGGGCCAAACAGCTGCTGCACATCTGCATGAGCTCTTGACATGGCCAGCTGTTTCTTACCCCTAAACACTAAATATTTATTAACACCACAAACATTTTTAGAGTGGAGTTAGTGCCACTGTTAGCTAATATCTTTGCCAACCTGCCTGCTCCCAGTCCAGAGCTGTCCACCTAACAGCCATTACTCGAGTTGCATGTCAGTTTGCCCGCCCCAGTGTGCACCAGCCCGCGGCCAGAGGGACTGCAGCCAGGACTGCGTGGAGGGCTGCCAGTGCGACCAGGGCTACGTGCTCAACGGCAAGAGCTGCATCCTTTCTCAGAACTGTGGCTGCTATACCGATGGCACATACTATGAGGTCAGTCTCCCACCAAGCTCTACGTGCATGAATATATTATAAATGTTTAAATGTCTGGGTTATTTTGAGCAGTAGAAATATAGAAAGTATATAGAAAACATTAAACTAGACCTTTCTGGATCTATCAGTAAGTGCAACCATTAAGCTCTTAAAGTCCAAAATAAGTTGGAAGTTGCACGTAACCTTGGTTAAAACACTATTTGCAAATATAAAATCTTAAGAGTTGTTCTTTATTTTAGCCCAAGCAGCTTTTTTGGAACGCCGACTGCACCAAACGCTGCCAGTGCATCGGACGAAACCTGATTCAGTGCAATCCAAGGCGATGCAAGGCAGAGGAGGAGTGCACCCTCCGGTACGGGGTTCGGGGCTGCTTTGCCCGCCGCTCCCAGCACTGCGTGGCATCAGGCGGCGGAGTGTTCAGGACATTCGACGGGGCATCGCTGCGACTGCCGGCCTCGTGCTCCTTCGTCCTGTCCACAAACTGTCACAAGCTGCCCGACCTCTCTTTCCAGCTCATTGCCAACTTTGATAAATGGAGCACGCCCAACCTCACCACCATCTCGCATGTCTACCTGTATATAAATGAGGAGAATATACTCATCTCTGGCAGCACTGTCAAGGTAAGAGGCTAGGTGAAGTAAAGCAGAAGATAAGCATAAAGAGAGGCCACACACTGTGTAGCTGTCTAACTCTGTGACTTTGACACGTGCACGTTTATCCCAGGATTACTTGAATCATGTTTCTTATGGTTTCTCTTCTTAAATGTAACAAGTTGTTCGAGTGAAACAATATTGAAGATAAGTTGTATTGGAAATGAGTATAATGGATATATTCTGCAAAGAATGTGAAATATGCCAGGTAGGAGAAAAAGAGGGAAGAGAAGATTTGTGGATGCAGTGAAGGAGGACATGCATGTTGGTGTGACAGTGGAGGATGCAAGGGATAGGGTGAGATGATCAGCTGTGCCGACTTCCTAAAGGAAGTAGCCAAAAAGAAGAAGAAAATCATTTACTTTAGTTTTTAGTAAACTTCCTCTGTAGCTTAGTGTCCTGGGTTGTTGGTTGTTGCTAGGCAGCCAGGTTCTGAGGAAAAAATAACCAGTTTTTGCAACTTTGCCACAAGAAAGCTACTTTCAGCTACGTGCTTATTCATAAGCAGTCGTCACAGATCCAAAGGGGATTTGTTTATCTCTCCAGGATCGAACTGGGGATCGTTTACTTGTTAACTGAACGAGTAAATAACTACACGATGGAGCCACTTTGCACTAACTGTTGCTATTGCACAAGTTTGTTTTACTTTTTTCCATATTTGACATTAATTTCTGTATCTTTTCTTTTTTTCATCAGTGTCGTGATCTGAGAGGATGATTTTAATCTTTAAAGCATTATCGGCCATTACCTGTGTTTCTGAATCATTGTATAACATTAAATATATAAAATCATGGGATGCCACTTTATTCAAACTGGTGTTTCAACCAGTTAAATGTTAAATGTTATTTATGTTTTGTTTTTTTCTTCTCTGTGGTCACAATTAGAGAGCAAACTCTCCCCCCCTTTCTGTGCACCTTTGGTGCCGACCAAATCAGCCTTTGTTACCAAGAAGACACTGTGACCTAAAAAGAAAAATATGATTATGGGATAATTGTACATGTTGAAACATAGTCAAAGATAGTCGTAACAGGTTATTAACTTTACACAGAAATATGCAGCCAACAACTTGGCCACATTGCAAACCTTGGGGTGGCTGTAGCTCAGGCGGTAGAGCAGGTCATCCACTGATCGGAAGGTTGGTGGTTCGATTCCTGGCTTCCTCTAGTTTGCATGCATCCTTGGGCAAAATACTAACCCCATGTTGTGTATGAATGTTACATAGGCACTAACAAAAGTTCTTGTGTGATTGGGTGAATGAATTAGTTGTATAAAGCACTTTGAGTGCTCAGATAGAGTAGAAAAGCGCTCTATAAGAACCAGTCCATTTACCATTAGAGACCATAAAGTGACTAAAACCATCACACTATGAAATGGACACTCTATATACCGAGGTTATTTTTTTTGCTTTTCATTTGCACCACTGCTTCTTCCTCTTTTAATCCTGCTTTAATAGAAAAATTGCCTCCATCAGGAGATTTCTCCTTTTTGTTTATGTGATCGAGTTACTTTGTACTGGCCATATGGCTGCGGTCAAAGACGCTTTAATCAACCTCAACAAACAGATTGGATTCAAGTCTCTCTTTCTTTCCCAAATACTTGAAAAAGTTCCTGCAGCCCAATTTACCAATTACCCTGGCACTAATAGCCTATTATATCTCCTCCAGCTCTGGACTTAGGCCATGTCAGTCAGCTGTAAGAGCAGTCACAGAGGTAGCTAATGACTGATTGCTTTAAACTGCAGCTCCCACTGAGTCTTAATCCTGCCTGATTTGAGTGCACCAACATTAACATTCATTAATTTTATTGACTGCCTTAAGAAGCATGTTGGCGTTAGTTCTAATGCCCTGAAGAGGCTCAGATTGTCACAATCTTTGCTTCGGACTGTCTCTGTTCTTTTGTTTCATCCTAACAGCCAATCTTTGTATAAGAATGAAATCAGCTTATACCAATGACAGCCCAATTTTGTTTCCCACTCATAGGTGATCATGTTTAAGCTTCAATGTCAGTAACATGGCAATGTATTTATGTTAATATAACATATATAACGACAAAAACATGGGGAATGCACATCTATGATTGTCTTGCAGAGGTTTTAAAACGCTGCCACATGGTGTTACCACTACTCATGCTATTATATACTCATTTTCACACATGCAGCCCTAAACTACAGGAAACAAAGTTTTCTTAAACTACCTGGGCTATAACATTTAACTTCTTACTCAGATATTCTATCTTAAGGTTTGCAAGCCCCATACTTAAAAAAACAAAACAAAACATGCTTAACATGAGCTGTTAGTTGTAAAGCTAATATTATTTAAATGATTTAGAAATTATCAAAAAATGCATTACTTGCATTTGGCTTCTTAGAGATGCTGTCTTTAGGACATAATGGATATCAGTTAGTGCTGACAATACATTTTACCCAGCTTTACCCCTCCTAAATCCCCAAATGTAAGCAGAAAAAGGCATCTAAGTAGG